ACCCCGTATGAAAAGCAACCGTTTTTTGATTACGACTACATATTCAACATAAGCCCCGTATTCAGCAATGAGTCCGACTGTGTGACTGATCTGGATATATCTGTGATTGAGTTTTCACAGCTACAATACCCCAGGCCTGAGCTCATCTCAAACTCCATTTCCATCAAGAATATCATACAAATCGTGGTCTGTGTTTGCCTTATACTGGCGATACTTATCGGGAACGGAGCCGTTATCATGGCTGTGCTCATATGCCATCACTTGCGGACAACCATTAACTACTATTTAACTAATTTAGCCTTTGCTTCGCTACTCATTTGTGGCTTTTGCCTATGGGTTAATCAAATCGACATGATTACTAAACCATTTTATGTACTGGGCCCATTTATGTGCAAATTCAACGCTTTTATCCAAAGTAAGAAATTTACTAAAACTTTAATTTTATACACTATTTTATAGAATAATTTTAAAATATTAAATCAATAATTAAGGTTAAATATTTTAAAACTTATTTACTAATTTTTAATTCATTCTTAATTTATTAAATAAATAAACTTTTAATTTTCATAATTTATATTAAATAAATTTTATTTATTGGTAACTTAATTACAGGTATATCCAAACTTTCAGTTTTATACTGTACTTATTTGTTAAACAAATACATAAGATATTTTTAAAATTATTTTAGGTACTAAATCATAATGTATTAAATAAGTATAAATAGTATATAATTTAAAACTGCAATTGAATTATTTTATTATTATTATAACTACGATAATATCAAATTTCTCAAAAATCTTATAAAATACTAATCATTGCCTTAGAGACAAATAATAGTGAAATAAAAACTTTTGATGATATTGTATAGTCTTTCTTACTAAAATGATTATATTACTGTATAATGATTATACTATAATCTATAAATTTCTTATTATAAGTGAAAAAGTTTTTCAATTCTTGAAAAACGCTTTCAACTCAAAGGATTAAAAACTTTAAATGAATTAAAAAAATAATCCTTTTATTCCGTATTGAATATAATTTAATATCAAAATACAAATCTCTACATTGAAATATCCGTAAATATTTATGTTATTATGTCACAACAGACAATTGATTATGATATAAGTTAATATATATTATGTAAATATTAAAATGTAATTAATATTCCAGTCATTTGCCGCATAAAAACTTTCTATACAATATTGTACCAGTACATTCTTTAGGCTATAAGTAGACTACTGTATAATGTTATGATTCCATTAGTTTACTACTGGGAAATGTTTTATAGGAATATTCTCGTATTAATATCACTAAAGTATCTATTAATAAGTCAGAAATATTTCCCCAAAAATACAAAAATATCTAACATTTGTGACTCTAATGCGCTCTCAAAGATCACTTAAGATCAGCCGAATTGACGTCAAAATAACATTAAAAGACTTAAAAAATTGTGTTTATTATTCAATTCCTGGGATAATGTATTCAATACCCACTTGACTCACATATCCAGTCCTTGAATCCGACAGTTATTAAGCTCTCAATGCTCTCATCGCAAACTTGTCAACCATTTATTAT